CAGATGGGCAGACAGACTTGAATACAATTAAATACAGGAAAAAATGAACTATATACAACAAGACAGACATCTACATAAAGACTTTTTTTCCATTATCTATGAGTTCTTGTCAATGCAAAACATTACTGGAACTCAAGTATGTTCAGATTTTTTTTCTTTTTTTTTCCCCCTAAAAAGAAAGCATGTAATGAATTTCCTATTTTTTCCGCTTACTGAGGCATAATATGCAAAATTTGTGGCACTTCACAGGGTACACAAAAGCTAAAAATGTTTTGTCTTGTTATTTTATAGTTTATGATAGCTAATTTCAGTCAGATCTATTTATGGAGACATTAACTGTAAAGTGTTATTTACATGAAGGGAGTTGTGCAAAGTCATTTAGGCTATGGCTAGTACACTGTGAAAATGCATGGTTAAGGAACTCACACTCATCCCCAGAAGAAATCCCTTAAATCCTCTTCTGATTGTTCCTCTCGAGGAGCAGTCACCCAAGGAAAACTGGCCATAATTTAGTATTATTTGTTTCTTAAGTTACTTGGAGAAAGCTGTTTCTGTGACCCTTAAGGGTCTTGACTGTTTTAATGTTGGGTTTCCTCTCTTCACACAGTTAATGCTTTAAGCATTGCCTGTCTGCTTTTTGAGACACAAATGCAGCCGTCACTGTCACCCCACTACCCTAAGACGTCTGTAGTCCTTGCCTGTAGTTTTTATTACCAGTGGGAGCACACAGGAACTGGATGTGTGTAACTCTGCAGGAGTCACCCTACTGCCACAATGCAGGAACTGCACACTCCTGCTGACAGTGCTGAACCAAAGCTACTTCAAACCAGAGTGGGGAAGGAACTGCATTTCTTCAGACAGCCTTTGCAGAACAAAACTCTGCATTACTATATCCAGAAACACCTCTAAACATCCTCATTTAAAAAGAAGAGAAAAATCAACTTTACTTTGGGTTGCAAACTTCGAGACCTTGAAACAGCTAATTGCAAGAGCTGCTTTAATTAAAGGCTTCCTACAGATCTCTAGGACAGGTTAGCAAAGACACATGCAATACCAGTGTTAACATATCCTGCAGTTGTGCTGCACCAGGGCACCAAATGGTTCTTATAATGGTTTCCATAATCAACCAACTGCCAAAAGGTGTCCAAGGTTAATTCTTGACTTTTTCACAGATACACCTACTGCAAATGTGGATCATAAAACACTGATTTTAATCATCTTGTCTACATAAACCTGTTTGTATCAGCTCACCTAGGACTCTACATCAGCTTGCACTTTTCCTTACAGGCTTGAAGAAGACATTTACAACTCAGTTCTGGGGTGAAAAAAAAAAAAAAAGTGACTTGATAACAGTGCATAAACTGGTATATTCCTGCCTTCTGAAATAGAGGAATTCTCTCTCCTAGGACATATACCCACCTTCTCTTCTTTTTAAAAATAACATTTAAAGAAAGCTGGACAATCTTCAGGGCAAAGACTGATTAAACTTCTCTATCAAAAAGCTATCAAGTTAACATTGCTACCAAAAACCTTTTAAAGCCTCCACTTCCTAAATCCACGGCAGTATGGTTAGTTAATTTTCAATCCTATGCACCAGGCTACTACCAGGCAGACATCAGTGTAACAACCAGACAGAACAGCAAAGCAAACACACTCAAAGCATTAAACAGGGAACAGTTGATACAGTAAGAAGATCTGTAGGTAGTTTGGTATTCAGCTGACAAGAGGATCATCACTAGGAAGCCTAGAGAAGTCTATATTCTCATTAGTTATTAGGAGAGAGTGTTGCAGCACAGCAGTAAACCCAAAAGACCACCTCATCCCGTTAGAAAATAAATTCAATGTTTGGATTCAAATACAGGGACTCTTGGCAGTTAAAACAGTCAAAGAAGTATCTTCGCATTGTACCTGTTGCAACGTTTCTATGTACTTTAGATCTCATGGAGTTCATAAAAACATCTACATGTTCAAGCCTTCTGCTCAAAACACCTGACTGTTGTTCAACAGCAGGTTATTTTATTGCATAACCTTCATTGTCAGTTTAAGACTTGTTTATGAAAACACAACCCACCAGTACAGAACTTAGTCTACCTGGGCAAAGATGACATGCAGGAAAGTAAAAAGTTGTGAGCTTCTTACAGGACAAAACCAAAAGTGTAATTAAATGGTAAATTGCTAATCTGTCTTCTGAAAAGGAAACTATTCCATATCTATATGTGATGGTGGGAATAATTTATAGAGTAAGAAAAAACCAAAATATTCAGGCCCCCTCATTTTAGCACTAGAAAAAAGTAGAAGAAAATTGATTAACTGCTTCCTTCCTGGTCTAGGCTGCTGGTCTAGTTTATAGACAGTCATTGATAAAAGATTATAACAAGGAACATAACAAGAAGCAGCTTGGACCATAATAAAAAGTTGTCTAGATACATATAAGTTGTTCTCCAAAAAAAAAAAAAAAAAAAAAACCAAACCAGTTTTATTTGGATTTGTGCACAACCTGTTGCTCTTTAAATCTTCGGAGCACTGAAAACATGACATTTTCCCCCAAAATCCAGTTGAGACTGTCCTGAGAGGTAAAAGTACTCATATATAAATGGGATGATATTGTCTGTGAGTGAGTTTCTTCCTGCAGGTTGGGCAAGAGTTGGCATTCCTAAGGGAATCACGGAGGCACTGACTGCAGAAGACATGGCCACATTTCGTCGACACAATCAGTCGTCCACTTTGCACAATCTGGAAGAAAGAAAGCCACAACAGACACTGAAAGTAAAGAATTCAACTTTGCTGGTCTCCTGACACCAGGCAAACAGGACTTGGATATCTGGAATTGTCTTTTACTCTTAGAATATGGAACTGAAAGATCTTTCAGTGCCATCCTGGCAAAGGTTTCTCCCTCTATCCACACCACCAAGAAGTGACTTGGAGTGAGTATGAGCTTCAAAGTAAGCTCTGTGCTTCAAGTCAGATCTCTGCAACATCCCAAACTCAGGCCAACAGAGTTGTGCAGCTCCCCCTCTGCCCCGTTCTCCCTCCCACAAGACAGAAAGGATGACAGCATGTGGACTCTTACCTCTGAGTAGACATCCATGCAAATGGGACAGCTAACAGTACCAGACGGCCTTGTGGCAGAGAGAACAGAACAAGAAAGAACATGCAGCCATTAATCTCACTGCGTGTCGAGGGTTCCCGACACACAACATGTCCCGTCACCATCCGAGCGCAGACCAGCCATGACACACTGCATGTGAAGATCCCTGCTATCTTTAGCTCCCTCAGTTTGTGGCATGTAAGAAGGAGTTCGGGTCTCCCTGTCCTAAGGGAAAGGTTTTCACTAGGGGGAAGATGCAGTCAGTGACAGCAGTGTCTAGCACTGGGCACCACAGGTACGGCCACCACCACCATCAGTAACAGCTCTGAAACTAAAGCATCTACCTGTGCCTTGGAAACAAGTCATTCTAGAAAGGGAAGAGGTTGTCAGAAATTCAAACATCCCCTGTTCGAATTTAGCAACACACATTTTCCAAAAACTCCTCCTCATAAAATGGAGGGCAGGAACACGAAATCAGGAGATACTGAAAAACAAATTTCTACTTCCAAAAGGAAAGACCAACTCTGTGGCTGCTACCCAGCTGTGCTTACAGACGTCCCTCTGCTGCCTTCAGGACAGCTCTATTGCACGCACACTTGCCAAGGGACATGGCTCAGCTGCCTAAGGAACATGTCCTAGCCCAAGTGCTAAATAATATTCTCTATCAGAAAGAGTTTCCTGCTGCTTTTCTTTACAAACTAATATCTATTTTAAACTTTCAGACCTCTACCTTAATAACTTGGCTTTCTTATGTCACCACTTATGCTAAATCACCGTTTGTAATTGATTATTTATAGAGGAATAGAAGGTATGAGAAAGCTTAAATTCAAGCAGGGAACTCTACTAACACCTACCCCTTGTTTCACCTACAAAACCTAAATCCACTAATTCTCACATTTTTACTCCTCAAATTCTTTAGGCAGCAGCTGTAATAGCATCTCAGTAACAAATCATAATTAATGATAATCTTAGAAGGAAGAGGAGTCCAACACTACAGATTAACACTGCAGATGGCTCTGGTAATCTCCAGCACCAGGGAGGACCCTTTAGTCAGTGTTAAATGCTGCAGCAGTGAATTCCTTCAGCCTCACCTACACAGAGCAGGAAGGCACAGTCTTTAGCAGAGAAGCTTGAGGCTGAAGAAACAAACTAATTTTTTTTTTGTATTATCCAGTTAGTGGGATTTGCTCTCTGAAATACTTAACAACCAAAACTTAAACATCTATGAACCCACCGTCAAAATGCACTATGATTTAGAACAGTACAGGCCGTTCCAATGGCATATTTATGATATGACACCCAGAAGTTCCATACTCAAGTTCTCTCCCACGTTGCCTTTCAGTAATCCAAAAGGCTCAAAGCACACCAGCTTCATTAAATCTTGTAGTTTTCCCCCTCCAAAGAAACACTTCAAAAAAAGTTTATACAACAGTTCTTATGTCCTTTGTCTTCCCTAGTCACAGAAAACCCAAGTTCTCTTAATTAGTGTAACACATTACAGTAGGACTTTACTATTTCTCTGCAGAATGGGGTCTTTACTGACTGAAACAGCAAGATCCCCATCTCACATGCAGACATACCAGGGCTCCATAACATCCCTGGGACAGCACAAGAACTGGCCATAAGAGCACAACTTCCACAACTGCCTTGCAAGGATACCTTGGGCAGGATGGTTACTGCTTGGACAAAGGCAGCAACTGGCACAGAGTGCAAAACAAGCAGGGAATGCAGAAGCGTTTTTATTGGAATCTGCCAGGCTGCTGCCTGCCTGTCTTGTGATATCAAACCTCATCAACACCAGCAAAAGTATTTCCATATCTAACATAACTACTAGAGCTTTGCATAAAAAGCAAATGTAATGCATTGTGAGCTATGGCCTGTGACTTCCTTGCCATACTCCCACACTCATCTTTAGGGCTGTATACAAACTTGTACACCTGTCTTGGGCTGGTTTTTCGTCCTGAAGTGGAAATGGTATAATTTGATCATCATGCAACATGGGATGTTGTACTCATTGAAAGAGAGAACTGAGTAAGTGAAGGTTTCAAAGACAGTTCAGGTGGTGGCAATACAAGTCAGTCCTGTCTGCATCAAAAGAGGCACAACTCAATGTTTGGCAGGTCATGAGGCATACGTACTTAGAGCGTTCAGTTTCCTCTTCCAGTGGTCCCAGTTCTCGAGACACTTTTTCACTCACATACACATCATTATCTCTTGTTTCATCTTCATCATCGCTACTCAGTACGCAGCTGTCCGACTGTCGCTGGCTTCTAAGATTTCTCCTTTGTCGTTGATTCTCTGCAATTTAATTTTTAAAGTTAGTTCTCCTATTATATCTCTCTCCCTGGAATTATCCTTGAAATGCGAGATTAGAAATAGTCTGTAAGGGTTCCTCTTTTAAATGGACCATACTCAGCTGGGTTAAAAGCAACCTTAAACAAACTAGTTTCATAGAATCTTAGAATCATAGAATTAACTGGGTTGGAAGAGACCTTTGAGATCATCAAGTCCAACCCTTGATCCAGCCCCACTGTGATTACCAGATCATGGCACTCAGTGCCACATCCAGCTTTGTCTTAGAAACATCCAGGAACGGTGCATCCACCACCTCTGGGCAGCCCATTCCAGTGCCTGATCACTCTCTCTGTAAAGAACTTCTTTCTAATATCCAACCTAAACCTCCTTTGGCAGAGCTTGAGACCAAGCCCTCTTATCCTATTGCTGGTTCCTGGGAGAAGAGACCGACCCCCACCTGGCTACAACCTCCTTTCAGGGAGTTGTAGAGAGTGATGAGGTCACCCCTGAGCCTCCTCTTCTCCAGGCTAAACAACCCCAGCTCCCTCAGCCTCTCCCCACAGGACTTGTGCTCAAGTCCCTTCACCAGCCTGATTGCTCTTCTCTGGACCCGCTCCAGCACCTCAATGTCCTTCCTGAACTGAGGGGCCCAGAGCTGAACACAGCACTCCAGGTGTGGCCTCACCAATGCAGAGTACAGGGGAAGGATCACTTCCCTGCTCCTGCTGGCCACACTGTTCCTGATCCAGGCCAGGATGCCATTGGCCTTCTTGGCCACCTGGGCACACTGCTGGCTCATGTTCAGCCTCCTGTCAATCCAAACTCTCTGATCCCTTTCTGCCTGGCTGCTCTCCAGCCACTCTGTGCCCAGCCTGTAGCGCTGCAGGGGGTTGTTGTGGTCAAAGGGCAGGACCCGGCACTTGGCCTTGTTGAACTTCATCCCGTTGGAATCAGCCCAACTCTCCAGCCTATCCGGGTCCCTCTGCAGAGCCCTCCTGCCTTCTAGCTGATCGACACTCCTTGCCAGTTTGGTGCTGTCTGCAAATTTGCTAATGATGGACTCAATCCCCTCATCTAAATCATCAATAAAGATGTTAAACAGGACTGGGCCCAGCACTGACCCCTGGGGAACACCACTGGTGACCAGTCGTCAGCTGGATGCAGCCCCGTTCACCAGCACTCTCTTTTTATCCCTGATTTCCTTCAGAATCCCCCTGTTCAACCAAGCTGGTCATCAACCCCACCGGCTTGCCTTTTGGCACCCTGGTACTGCCTGTTCCTGTGCACTCGAGACTTTCTTCTTGAAGCAGGTCCATCCCTCCCGTACCCCCTTGTTTTCAAGGGGTTTTTCCCAGGGTATGCTCTGGACCGGTCTTCTGAATGGGCCAAAATCTGCCCTCTGGAAGTTTTATTGGTGGTCTTCCTTGTATCCCTGAGTATTGCAAACTCTATTATTTCATGGTCACTGTGGCCCAGGCAGCCTCCGACCACTACATCTCCCACCAGCCCCTCTCTGTTTGTAAACAGCAGGTCTAGTGGGGTCCCACCCCGGTAGGTTCATTTACCTGCTGGAGCAGGAAATTATCCTCTATACACTCCAGGAATCTCTTAGACTGCCTCTTCTCTGCCATGTTGAGTTCCCAGAAGATATCTGGCAGGTTGAAGTTGCCCACAAGAACAAGGGCTGGCGATTTTGAGACATCTGCCAGCTGCTTGTAGAATAATTCATCACCCTCATCATCCTGGTTGGGTGGTCTATAACAGACTCCCATTAGGATGTCAGCCTTGTTGGCCTTCCCCCTGATTCTGGTCCACAAACACTCAACCTTATCATTGGTGACCTCAAGTTCTACAGAGTTAAGGAACTCTCTAACACACAGAACCACCCCTCCACCTCTCCTACCCTGCCTGTCCTGTCTGAAGAGCTTGTAGCCATCCATGGCAGAGCTCCAGTCATGTGAGTCATCCCACCAGGTTTCTGTGATGGCAACTACATCACAGCTTTACTGCTGCATGATGGCTTCCAGCTCCTCCTGTTTGTTGCCCATGCTCCATGCATTGGTGAACATGCACTTCAGCTGGGCTGCTGATTTTACTCTTAACTCGGGCTTTTCATTCCTAAATATTAAGGCTGAACACGTCCAGATATTGTGAACATTTTGCTACAGACTGACAGAAAACACTTGCACTCTTCACCCTACAAACAGCTAAAACATGACCTTAAAGATTCTCAGTGCCATATGTTTCATGTATTTACACTACCCGTGAATCAATTTCCCCTGTAAAAGGAAGATACCTTTCCCAATCCCTACTGACAAAAACTGCTGCAATCCTATGGTGAGGAACTGCAACAGTTGCTGTGTGAGAACAAAGAGAGAAGACTGAAGTCAAGTATCTCTGCAACTCCAGTGTCCATGTAACAATAATCAAGCACTAATCAACTAAAATGACATAAAGAGTCACAAAATTAAGGTCCCTTCCTGCCTACAAGTGTTCAGCTACAACTTTTAATGCTGGTATTTTTCACCTGCTCTTGCTTCATTCAGAGCACAGAAAGGATTACATTCCAGGTAAGCAGCTGACAACATACTAATGCGTGTCCAATAATATAATCAGAACAAGGCTGACAGATATAAAGGATTAACTTCTTTAGACCTGTAACCATTTTAACACCTAAAGTAGAAAAAAACCCAACTTCACACTTGTTAATACTTCTCTCTACAAAATTTGAAGCATGTTAGACTAGATAATGAAACTGAATACTATGACAACAAATCACTTTCTCCTTAAGTTCCTTCACTGCAGCACAGGTTAAACAAATCTTTTGACATTTTCTTTTTTATTCAAAGCTGATATTCCAGTGCTAATTAAAATTATGGTCAACTTGGGGCTTAAAGAAATTCTGTTTTTGGAAAGTAAGAAGCAATTGGAACAGCTTTGATGTATTGTATTTCAGGTAGTTTCTACAAGCTCTGATAGTTACTATCAAACACAGACTGGATTAATTCTCTTAAGACACCAGTTGGATGCTTTAGCAATGTCCTTTGCCTTTTCCTAAATGCATCTTTAATTCATGCTGCTCGAGCTCATTGGAAAAGGTAAACAAAAATAATAATTACGCTTAGGACAATTTCATTACCAATTTTAAAACATCCACTCACCTTCAACAATCTTGCATCGATACATATGGGAAAGAAGAGAAAACAAAATACAATTAGACTTTGTTGTGCACCCCTGGTATTACACAAAAACACCAGTTACGCAAAGCAGTTACAACAAAACAAGCTAAGAATGGTAGGCTATTGCTCTTGTTTTGATTAAGAATGTTAAAAGCAGTATATTAACTGCTGCTCTCTAAACAACCAAGTGGATGCTGATGGTTCTGCTCCCGGTGCTCCAAGGGGGTAGAAATAGAGGCAGCTTATGAACCACCTGACCCCTTCCTCCCTGCTCCCCCATTTCAGTTCCCTGATTTATGGTCTCAGGCTGGAGGTGATTCTTTCCCTCTTTCTCCCCAAACAGGTTGATTCAGCAGTGATGTCCAAAAATGCTCCATATGAGAGCAGCTGCTGAAGGAAAAAAAATAATCCCCAACTCACTGCTGTCTTTGGTGGAACTGGAGCAGGGGCAGTGCAATTGTAAAATATCAGGCCTTTCCTCTGCAAAGGCTCAGGAACAACCCCATCAAGAAGCACCCCCATGCTATTCCTGCTGCTTCTTTCTGATTTGCATTGGAGCAGCAGTGGCATCACAAAGCTGAGAGGATAAACCACACTGCTGGCTGGATCGAAGCTTTCAAAACAGCAGTAAAGGGAAAAAAAGTAGATTTTTTTAAGACTTGTTAAAGTAATGAGATCAACAGGTTTAGCACCCAGTCAGCTAAAGGTGTGCTTGGCATCTCTGACAGGAGTACCTCAAACCAGTGCTGCAGCTAAACACTTCATAGAAGTCAAAGACTTACTCTTCTCTCCCTTGGTTTTTTCTTCAAATCACTAGGCAGATTTGAAAAAATTCTTCACCAAAAGGGTTGTCAAGCACTGGAAGAGGCTGCCTAGGGCAGTGCTTGAGTCCCCATCCCTGGAAGTATTTCAGAGACATGTAGATGTCGTGCTTGGGACATGGTTTAGTTGTGGACTTGGTGGTGCTGGGTGAATAGTTGGGACTCCGTCATCTTAGAGGTTCTTTTCAACCTGAACGCCAGGTTCTGGAGCAAAAAGGTATTTTATATTATCCTATCACTATCTGCAAGTGCACCTCCAGAGCAGCTTCTGTGTTATCTGTATCACAGGGCTTCCATGCACCGACAAGTCAACTTTGACCTAAAGTCAGATTCTGTGAGGGAGCACAAGAGAAAACTAATTTGACTACAAGATTTAGACAAGTGTGCTATTCACTACTTACCACGACGGAATCATTGTGAGTTAAATCAACGACTACGGGATCTGAAGATTCACATGTGAGATCTACTACTTCTTCACCAGCTGAAAACCAGAATGTTAGAAATCAAGATCAGAGATTGCAGAGCATTAAAATTGTCTGCCACTGAACAACAGGCTGAGATTCAACCATGTCCTGTCCATTTTCTCTACAGAAATGTGTCCAACATTTCACTCAAGTTTTGCCCTCAGCAGTCCACAGAGAGCATTACCTGCCCTGTCTTCTGCAAGCTGCAATGCAAGGGGAACAGCAGCTGAGATCCTCACACAGTTCTGTTGGATAATAACAGCTTGTGGGAGGCACACAGCAGCAGACAATTCATCTGACACAACAGAATGTTCATCACACAGAAAAAAAATAATAACTTCAAAGTACCATGCTGCACATGTTCCCTTTAAATGGGGCACAACTAGTGGCAGAGTTTTTCTTATCCTCTTCAAACCTGGCACTTCCCAAACTTAGTTTGCCACTCTCTGTAGTGGCAGCTGCAGTGACTCCCAGCTCATCCGAGCAGACTTCCAGATGTTTGAGCAGCTTTTGAGGGCCCTTCCTATGCAACTCATCTATCACTAGTGGTAAATGTATTGTAGCTCAGTACTAAACCAAACCAAGTTGTCAGTGGGCTTGTTATTTCAAGATGCCATACTAGGTGCTTCTATATTAGGTTTCCCTTCTTCTACAGTAAAGGGCCTAAAACCAAACATTTTCTAGGCTAAAACACACATTCAATTGAACACCAACCTTCCAGAAGAGGTTTCAGTTCCTCCCAAGTTCAAAAGAAAGCTTACCACTTTCTTCAAGTTCTATTGGCTCTGCTTCTGATGCCATTTCTGCAGTAGAAGCCATGAGTCTGCTTCTTTTTCGAGCTTGCCTAGAATTCACTGCTCCTCCACGGCGCTTCCGTTGAGTCTAAGAGAGAACAAAGATTTAGCATTTTCTGTAGGAACAATATTAAAGTGGCCCTCAATTTTGCAACACCAAGCAAAGCCCACAAGGACACAGGCAACACTCCTGGAATGGTTGTAGTATTCACTGAATGGTGGTATGGGATATTCCTATCTGAATTCATGGCATCAAGGAAAAGACATCACCCAGATCTCTTACCAGTTGCCTCACCAAGAAAAAGCCTATCACGATGGTTTGGAAATGAGAAGACTAGTTCACAATTTATCAGGTTTTCGCTCACATTGTAAGCATTTCTGAACTACTGCTAGCACCTAGAGAGATCCAAAGTCTTCATTACCACTGAACATAAAGTTACATGAAGATTTATTATACTTTTGTTCCTCTGTATTAGCTACAAACCCTTAAAATAATTTTCAGAAGTACCAAGGAAAACATATTTCAAGAATCAGGATTGCATTGAGTAGCAAAATACTTACTGTGCTCATAGTGTTTCTTGACCTAAAACCACCGAACAAGAGGTACACACAACAAAAGCGTAGTGGCAAGGAAGCTAAAACTGTAAATTCCTTGGATTCCCTTAAGTAGGTCACTGACAAAAAGTCCAGATTTCTCAGGGTCAGAGAACGATGTTCTTCCAAACCTGTCAAAGAGAAGAGAGATTACCTTTCTGCAATGCTTGTTCTCTTCAATACTCCCACTCCAAGATTCCCATTCTCGAGTCACCAGCTTCTGCCCAAAGCCAGAGGGGAGGGAGGTCCCAGAGTTCAGTATTTGAGCCTCAGACACCCGCAGCTGAGCCTGAAGCCTCATTCTTACCCATTAACTAAACACCAGAATAAGTGAATTTGACATCAAACTACAAGAATACTAAGGAATCCCAATGACACTGAACTGAAAAGCAACTGATTGACTCGCAAGGTAATGTCCGTGGGCAGGAATCACTGGGATTTGCGTCATAAACAGCCATCTTCAGAGAACCAAAAACTCCAGATGAGCACTTCTCTTCTCCAACCCACCTTCAGATTCCAACAGTTGGGAGCCAAAGAGCTTGAGATGAATCTAAAGCAAGTGGAGCAGAGAAATGTCGGTTTCAAAAGACTTGCTGATGTGCAGGAGAACAGGAGTTCACCGCAGTTGCTCTGGTGCCTGCAGGTGTGTGTGCCCAGCTACCTGCCAAGGGGGACAGGTGAGGAGCACAAAGGCAGCTCTGAGTACCTGACAGGGCTGAAGTAACTGATGGGACTGAAGATCCCATCGCAGAGCTCGGCTGTGGCACAATTACCGCGGTGTCGTGGTTTTGCCCACCAGCCCATCCCTGGGGCTGAGGATGGTTTTGTCCAGGTAATTTCTGGACAAAAAGGTCAATCAAAAGTCCAGTAACGCCTTTGCTAATTACACCTTCAAGAAAACAGAAGTGAAGGTTGTTAACGCAGTTGAAATTAAAGGCAGCAACCATGTAGGGGAGAGGAGTAGCGGGCCCGAGCAGGGCCAGACTCCCTCCTCCCCCGGCTTGGGCCGGGGTGGGAGGAGCAGGTGTAGTTCTGAAGTCCTCCCTTCTCTCTTGTAAGAGAGTGAAGAGAAAAAAAGTTTAAAAGACGAACTGCTTGGACAGAAACCGCTGTAGAAGAATTCCAGCCGAAAGATAACGGAGCTTCCAAGGTCAAAGCTGGCAGCTGAAGCTGCAGCAAAAGTAAAGTGTGAAAGGGGGGGGACTTGTTTCCCCCTCCCTTTCCGCTCTCTCTCTTCAGCAGAGAAAAGACTGAAAATAAATCCCTGCCACCTGTAAAAGTTTGTTGGAGTAAGGAGACCTCCCATGCGGCTGATAGAGGAGTCTGTGGATGTACCAAAGAGAACTGAAACTTCATGAAAAGGACTGAAGTGAGGCAGAGTCCTAGTGAAGATTTGTGACCCTGAGGGAAACCTGTGCTGGAGCAGTGACGACTCAGGTGGGATACTGGGATCCGTGTGTGTGTGAATCCATACTGCTGCTGAAGATTTTGTAACTCTGAGAAATCTCATGCTGGAGCGAGACGGCCCATGTGAGACGTTGGGATCCGTGTGTGTGTGGATCCGTGCTAGACCCATGCTGAGAAGTCTATCAAGGACTGTTCTCCCATGGGGAGGGACCTCCATAGAAAAACAGGGATGAACTCTTAAGCCATTATCCCCTGTAACCCTGTGGAAGAAGATCCATAGTAAGCAAGTGTCCCCTTGCAAGCCTATGGAAGGAAGACCCTTCAGGACCTGAGTAACCTCCAGCCTTCAGTCTTAGCCCAGGAGGGGGGTAAGCCCAGCCCTGGAAGCCAACACAGAGCGAGAAAGAGAGAAAAAAAGTTCCAGCTGCAACGAGAATACTGCTACTACTGAAGATCTATTACTAGAGAGAGAGAACTAGAACTCTGAAAATACAAAATGAGACTACTTCTTCTCCTTGGACTAGTATAAAAGAGGAAGAAATATTTCTGTAAATATATAGCACTTCAACTTGAGTAGAAATTGTTGTAAATATAGTTCTTTAGTTTTTAATTTATTAGTAGTTTTTGTTTTACTAGTAATAAATGTTTATACTATTTTCCCCAAATCCTGTCTCTCTTTTGTCTGCAAAAACTTTCTCTCAATTAATAGTAATTGTGTGGGGGATAGAAAACAAATTGACCCCAAAACAAAACCACGACACACGGGTCCAACACACAATGAGGAGCTGGGGGAGGGCATGAGGGGAGACCGTGGAGGGACCGGAAAAAAACAATTATGTTAAATAAGAATTGCTGAATTATCTTCCTGAGCTTATTACTAAGCCCAGAGACACATTTATGTATAATTTTAAGCAACACACCACTTTGCAATTTTCTCAAATTTTTTCATTTTAAAACTGGCACAAAAGCCACAATTAAAGTCAACATGTCTTCCCCCTCTCCCTCCCCAGTTGAATCATTTATTACATGCCAGACTTAATGCTCAGTGAGTCCACAGGCAGAGTCTGGTCACAGTAGATCTCATGTTCAGAACTGTTATGTGTAACACCCCCTCCTACCACAAATCTATTCAGTAACCAGTTCCTTTTAGGAATCTAAACTGACACGCACAGTTTTTCTGTCTCACCTGGGATGTTAAAGACGGAGGCTCAGAGAAAGCTGGGAACTGACTTTGTCTATCGCTCCCCCAGTGCAGGACTCACCTGCACATTCTTTTCCACAACATTCTGGGTCCAGGTAGTGAGAGCTCTCTTTGAACACTTCACACTGTTCCTAAAGTCTAGATTCCATTTCACTTGTTAAGAAAGAAAGCTTTTCTGCCAACCTTACCAACATTCTTGGGAAGAGCCTGTTTGACTCACTTTACTGAGTTTCTGGGATAAAAGACAAGAACTTTTAAAACAAGACCATGCCTAATGATGCACTCATTCGAAAAAACTCCAAACCCAAAAGAACAGCAGGACTTTCTGTGAGCACATTTTCTTTGTGCTACAGGAGTTCCTAGTTCCATATGATTATTATTCATGGGTTTGGAGGTTTAAGGAGACAAGGGGAAGAGGGAGATGAAGGAGGAGGACACAGCACAGGGGATGAGGGATAGGGGCAGGAGAGAGAATCATCCCTAAGCCTGGCACATGTTTTAAACTAACTGCTGAAAGACAAGGTAGCACCTTCCTCAACCAGGTACAAATGAAATGAAAAATAACTCGGGCAAAGTAGTTTTCTGCACACAGCAAAAGGAACAAGAGAGAGCAACACATGATGTACAGAAGCTAGGACTTCAGATTCTTTAGAGGTTTTATTTTATCAAGAAACTCGAGACATTTTCCTTGATTCTCCTCAGATATGGAATTGGAAAAAATACTTGGGACCTTCTGTGATGGTTTTGGTCTAGGCCTTCCTGATGACCAGTTTGTAACCAAGGAAGTGGCCATATACCCAGTATTCCATACGATTTTTAAGTAAACCAGAGTATAAATAAGTTGGAGATTAGAGACCTCGCTCTCTTCTCTTCCGGCGAGGTTTGGGAACAGTGGGTCCCTGCGTTGGTCTCGCTTATCTAAGGCTGAGGCCTGCAGAGTCCACCGTCCTGCCACGTGGAGGTTTGGAGAGTACTAGCTGTGTCTGCCAATCCTGCTGTTCTAAGGGATGTGGTGAGATCTGTTTTGTTAGTTATTAGTATAGTTCTTGAGTTTGATCTAGTATACCTGTTCGGTGTCCCTTTTGTTCCCTTTCGTCCCTTTTTTCCCCTTTCCCTATCCCTTCGGGGGGTGGAGCCCCTTTTACTGTGTATATAGCATCTTAACTGTACATAACTGTAATTTACATAAATATAGATATATTTTTATATAAGCAGCTTGACTTTGGGTTCTTTAATTTTTATAGTTTTTTTTTTTCTTTACCCTAAGGGAAGAAGGGAAGGGGGAAGGAGACTGCTGTCATGACTTTCGGGCATTTGGCAGGGAGCCAGGTCCAAACCATCACACCTTCAAAAGTTGGAAAATGTTGGCTGGTTCACACATCTGAGGATTATAAAGAAGTTAACTTTATATAAGTTTATTTTTAATTACAGGTTCTTAGAACTGTTTTAAAACAGAATCTTTCAGAGCAACCTGATACACTGACATATCCGTACTGATAAAAGACAGCAACAAAGAAGCCCACTGTATTCACCAGGCAGCACGGGTTTGGATATAAAACACCCAGAAGGTTTCCCAAGAGCCGGTGCTGTTAGGATTTAATTCTGAATACAACCCAGTGCAATGGTTTATGGACAGAGTATCTTTAGAAAAGGTTAAAACCATGAGGAGAACACCTGGTATGATTCCAAACAAAAAACATTGCACAGATTCTCTTTGGCCACAAGTGGCTTAAATGCCTAAGAAGCACTAAAACAGAAAAAAAAAAAAAAAAAAAAAAGAAGCCATCCAACAAACAAATTTACATTTTCAAGTTATGGTGAAAAGAAAACCAAAGTAATACACAATAGAAGACCCGCTGTGCTAGGACCACCCCACTCACCTTAAATATCCACAGACATACTTCTTTAACAAGATATCAAGGAACAGATTATTTAAAGGATTACTACGAAATGTCTCAGAGGATCTAGTATCAGACCTCAGTGGCAACAGCAGACAGAACCACTTTTTGACTTAACTGACAGAGCACACCATTGCTATTTTCATGGTTTAATTTTCAGTATCCTCCACCACCAACAGTAGGCTTTCTTTGTAATTAATGCAGAGACTACTTTTGAGGCACAAATGTTCTCCCTCCTCTTAACCTCTTCAGAAGCTGCTTCTGAAGAAGAGAGTTGAAAATTATACCCATAGGGAAGCTCATCATTGTAAAACCACCTCAAAATAAATCATTATAGGCAGGTTCATCAGTATCAACATGACACATCTCAGGAGAGTCACGTTTATAGCAAAAACCAGGCTATTGGAACTTATTTAGACTATGGAAGTAGTCTCATGATCCAGCAAAACTTCTGTTTTGCAAGAACAAACCTCTTCTGTGGAATTACAGATATCCACGTGTTCCTGGCTTACTTGGGAAACTTCATTGAACATTAACTACCTGAACTGTAACAATGCATACTGAAAATAAAGCAAAGCGTACCTCTTTCAATACACCACAGACCGAGCCCAGCAGTGCACAGGAAATACACCACAGGCAAGTCTAGTAACGCACAGGAGCAGAGGTGAGCACAGTGCACATTATGAGACACACTCACGAGTAAGAATTCCTTATGATTTTCAAAACATCAGGACCACTCAATTTAATAACACAATTTGTTACACAGAGCTGGAGAGGACAAGTTAAATGATAAGACCTGTACACTCCTCTTCCAGCAGCCACTACGGACCCACACAGCACCAAGACTCCCACGAGTGGGTGATACAGAGAGTTACCTCGTTCCTCTCAACCCCTACACATCCAGTGACCTCATTAACTCACAGCTCCAGCTGGAATTTTTTTTTTTTTTTTTTTGTATGTGAACACTTAGCAGATCAACTTAGCAAGCCAATAAATACTTTTAACTTTTACATACTTTTTACTGCACGGCTGCAGGATGATAACAGTACCAGAAAAAGCCACTCCCCTTCCCCTCACAGGCAGAGCTCTGCACATGCAGTTATTGTTCCTGTCATTTAGGTCTCCCAAGGACTTAAGCAGTGTTGACCTCACAACAAACAGCATTTTAAAGGCTATATTCACCAA